AGGGTGGTATTTTTAAAGCTAAATCCTGTGATATTGTACTGCTCAGCAAATCCATAAGCTGTACATACATGAAGAGTTAAACTGAGCCCACTGCAGTTCTAGCCAGATCCAGGAGGCCAACCAGGAAGTAGTAAAACATGGTAATGATGACCTGGAGGCTGAAAACAATAAAAAGAACAGGAGATTATGTAACTGACCACACACACACACACACACACACACACACACACACACACACACACACACACACACACACACACACACACACACACACACACACACACACACACACACACAGCCTATAGACCTCCAGGTCTCACATCCGAGAACTGTCACATTAAGGGCATCACCATGTGAGGACCCTGGGGTGCGGTGACTTGCTCCTTGCTCAAGGGCACTTCAGCAGTAACAGTGGGCACACATCATTTTCAAAATAACATTAAAGTAACGTTTTTTGTTTACTATATACTTTCCCTTTTGAGAGTTGTTATTTTGGTTACTCAGTGTCTGCTGGAGTTTCTGAATGATCTAAAAAGGACCCATTATTTGTATTATTATTATTATTTTGTTCTGCATTGCCCTCCTCGGTATAGATAGTCAAGAACTAATAGGCAGCGAGGGAGAAAGCCAAGGTCCAATCTACGGCCCTGGGGCCAACTGTGGCACATTTTAAAAGATCCACACCTGAAACTTGTGCTTCAGTAATAATGTTCTTCTTGAATATATTGTAAAATATATTACACAGTATTCATATTGTGCAATTCTTCAATAAATTAGGTCAATTAAAGTTGAAAACATTTCCTAAAGAAAACCCCAATAAGTTATTTGCATAACAATCTTTAAATATACCCGTCCTATTTCCCTCCTTAATACAGGGCTGTGAAGGGAAGAAGCAAACTGATACTTCTGTTTTAAGGGATGGGCTGCCAAAAAGAAAATAATGAAACCCTGTAAATGGAAGCTGTGATGTAGGCTGTAGGGCAGGCTGTCCATTTGATTGGTTTTGCTAACTTATAATTTACATCTAGTGAGTGACCTAGCCCTTATGTTTCAGTATGTGGCCCACTCTAAGAATACAATCTTGAGTATTTAGGCTTTTTTTTCATGCAGAAAATAAAATATTTTACTTTCTCTGGTAACCATAACAGAATAATGACACATGTTCACGTTTAGGCTGAAGGGAGAAAGTAGAAACGGATTACGAAGCACCCAAATTGACTTTCGGTTTCTCAGCAATCGTGTTTCTGTCCACCTGACGAATGTAAATCCAATATTAATTCTCCTTTAGCTCTGTTTTCAGTCTCTTCCAACTCCTGAGGGAAATATCTGCCTCTTTAGGAGTTAAGTACTGCACAATGTTCACCAGTTAGTCAGACTGTCTGTTTGGTGCTGAGCATGTAGCATGTAGATGCCTGCCATGGCCCAAAAAAAATGCTGTGATAGGAGTGAACCAAAATATTAAATGTACGCAGACAGCTGAACAATATTCTAAAATATGCCATTAAGCCTTTTAACATTTCTGATAATAATTTTCTAAAGTTCATTTAAATTATTACTCTTTTTTATAATGGCACATTTATCTTTTAACCATTATTTGTATCCATCCTTGCTAAACAAATATTGTCTGTTAAAATTAAGCCTAAGCCAAATCATATGGTCACTGCAGGGTTTATGAAATGCTGCTGGTTTCTCATTCATCCTTATTAGGGATAATGGATGCTGAATGAATGTTATGTGTGTGTTTGTATATAAAGATACAAGTCAGATACTCAAAATCATAGAGGCTTAAATGTATGTTTATTTGCCTCCTTTAAAGAATTTATCATAAAAGATTTTCATTTATAACAGAAAAATACTTAATATAGTTGTGTGCTCAGTTCCCTCTTATGTAAAACACACACACACACACCACACACACACACACACACACACACACACACACACACACACACTACACACACACACACACAACAACACACACACACACACACACACACACACACACACACACACACACACACACACACACACACACACACACACACACACACACACACACACACACACACACACACACACACACACACACACACACACACACACACACACACACACACACACACACACACACACACACACACACACACACACACACACACACACACACACACACACACACACACACACACACACACACACACACACACACACACACACACACACACACACACCCCCACACACGACCTTTAAGCCTACATTTATGAATGCCCCCCGCCCCACCACCCTTTTCTCCATCAGATACTGCTGCTTAGCCCTGACGTCAGTGAACCTGCCTGCGCATAAAGGCTATTATAATCAGGACCTCACACACACACACACACACACACACACACACACACACACACACACATTGCATCCCTTCCTTTGTCTCAGTCAGCAGCAGCACACACACACTCCCCTATGATTGGCTCAACAGGCTCTAAAAAGAGAGAAAAGAGTACAACAGACGGGGAAAGCAGACAGTGTGTGGGAGGTGGGCGGCCTTGATCATTATCATTATCATGTAATCCGATCACTGTTATAAATTTGAGACTGTGGCTTCTTTCCTATTGGCGTATCAGTAGAGTTGCTTTTTTACCTCCATCTCTGGTACTTCTGAGCGATTTCTGGACACGATGCTCCAATCTTCACTTTGTTATATTGATAGGATAAGGAGGATTAACAAGGAACATGTTGATTCTCTTACCTTCAATGGAAAGTGAGTTTGTATAGGCTCCCATCATTTAAAAAAAAAAACCATAACATTGCAGATAGTGGGCATCTATTGTACAGCGCCCAGGGAGCAATGGGAGTGGGGGGTGAAGGGGGATGTCTGGTGCCTTGCTCAAGAACACCACGGCAGGGCAGGAGGTGAACTGGGACCTCTCCAAGTAGCAGTCCACACTCCATAT